CCCCAAAACCCCAAAACCCCAAAACCCCAAAACCCCAAAACCCCATATGAGCGGATATATACTGACACATTTTAATAAATTATAAAAAAGTGAAGATGAATTCATCCAATGAATATGAAGAAGCTATGAAAATTGCTTCTGAATTAAGTATTGACAAGCTACATTCATTTCCAGGCAATGACACATCTCCATCTGGAGAGAAAATGCTTTATTCAAGTCCAAACTCGACTGTGTATCTGGATAGCCTATCGTCAGAAAGTGAACTCAATATGAATAATTCTCCAAGGAAGGTAAAGGAACTCTGAGTTGTAAAGACAGTAAAAGGACAAGCCTTCTGCTACTTGTTAGGGAAGGAATACAGAATCTTAAAGGAGCTCGACCATCCTCATATCATCAAACCGATAGAATTTAACCAGACAAAGACATTACAGGAGCAGTCTGCGAGTCTCTATTTACCTTACTATTCCAAAGGAGAGCTCTTTCAGTTGGTGAAGTCAAAGAATGGGCTAGGAGAATCCCTTTCTTGAAGTTATCTCAAGCAGATTTCATCTGCCATTGAATATCTTCATGAACTGAATATTGCTCATCGTGATATAAAGCTCGAGAATATTCTGGTGGACGATGAAGCTAACGCAAAAGTTATTGATTTTGGATTTTGCTACCTTTCTGAGTATCAGACTGAAGAAGAACATAGCAAAGATATACAAACAAGAGTACTAGAAAGTAGTATTGAAGCTAACATTATGGGTACAGCTGCTTATCTTTCTCCTGAGTTGATCGAACTTACAAGCAATGGAGGTCTCTCGATTTGTGATTCCCCTGACAAAATAGCAGAAAAATTAGATATTCTGAAAGCAGGAGACATCTTTGCACTCGGAGTAACACTTTTCACCATGGTTACAGGAGTTGCGCCATTTGCATCAGCAACTAAAAATGACGCAAACTACAGAGCACTACTCCTTGGAAAAAGAAAGAAGTGTGACTGGTTCTGGAAGAAACATATCATTGCAAAAAGTATGACGGAAAAAGGATTATTATCTGAGGAGTTTAAAAACCTTGTTGAAGGAATGTTAGATCCAAACCCTTCAGATAGGCTAACCATTTTCTCAGTGGTTAACCATCCATGGATGAGCAAATTTATCAATCCGGCATCAGAAGAAACGAATCAAGTTCTGTGATAGAATATTTCTCGGACCGAATTCTTTTAAAGGTCAGGAATTTATCAGGATATTTATTCCAGCTAATTAAATTAAACTATCAGTCCAATTAACTTCTCATATTAAGGGGTTTTGGGGTTTTGGGGTTTTGGGGTTTTGGGGTTTTGGGG